AGGTACTAAGATTAGATCCTCAGACCCCTTTGGAGACCATATACTATACTGGTGATTATTGGTAGATCTCATGTGGCCAAAGTGTGTCAGCAGTTCCTGTAAGATGAATGCATTGAAGCTATGGACTAGCCTGTCCGTCCCATCCATCCACAAATGTCATGTTGCACCACAGACTGTGGAGGAGTTGGCAAATGCTTTAGTGCAGGTCTGGGAGGAAGTCTCTTAGGAGCCTCTCCCCCATCTCATCAGGAGCATGCCCAGGCATTGTAGGGAGGTCATACAGGCATCTGGAGACCGCACACAGTACTAATCCTTGTTTTTTAACCTGTTTTAAGGACATTACATCAAAGTTTGATCAGCCTGTAGTGTTTTCCTTTGTGTGTGACTCCAAACCTAGGCCTCCACTGGTTTATAAATTTGATTCCTATTGATTATTTTTGTGTGATTTTCTTGTCAGCACCTTCAATTTTGTAGAGAAAAAAGTATTAAATGAGAATATTTCATTCATTCAACTTTTAGGATGAGTTATTTGAGTGTTCCCTTTATTTTATGAGCAGTATATATGTAAAAGAAAATTGTAAGGTGTTCATTTCAGGCTAAATAGATAGGAAATCACATAAAAAATGAATTACTGAACAGTTATTTTTTCTTTTCAGGTCTCCCCGGAGGATACCTGGTTGTTAAGTGGATTCGCCAAAGAACCAATTTCTCCCTGAGTCGTTTGTTCCTACCCTAAATGTTTTGGTGAAGGGTCATAGCTCTACATGAGCATATTTTTTATCTCACTGTAAACAAACAATAAACACCATTTACATATATTTATGTTTACCAATCAACCAGTGTTATTTAAGACAGCTTTACAATCCTAATCAGTTGAACTGCTAACTCAACTAAACTGCATTTAGATCAGAATTTCTTACACAATTAGTTAATGTTAAAAAGAAACTGGGTCAGGCTTGATTTTCACATCTAAGTGGATAAAATGAATTAGAAATGTGAGCCTTATTACTGTTCCAATTATTAAAGTAAGCCCAAAGTGGCAGAACCTGGACCAGGTGGATTTCAGAGCAGTACAGATGTTGAGTCCAATAGGATGCCGAGAGACTTCCCCTCTATAAACACCAGTGGCAGCAGGCAGTCTAAGGCTTGAATTCAGATGCTTGTGCATGGAGATCAATTGCATTAAGCTAAGAAAACCTGTAGGCCACAGCATTTACTGACCCTGTTCTGTGTTTTTACGTGGACTTTGGTGGCTGAGATTCAGTAAATCCCAGTTGATTCTAAAGTACACTCTTAAATATGGAAATGGTTGGAACAGCTAAGTGTAACTATTTGGAGCCCTGGAAAAATTTCGTTCAGTGTGATACAGGATGTGTTTCATAAGAATAAATATCTAAAACATCTGGCGAAATCATCAGATTGATTACCAAACTCTAAACCAGCAGTATTCAGTCATCAGACCTAAATCATTTTGAAATTATGTTTGTCAAATAAAGAGATGAGAGCAACTCAGTGAACTCGGGGCTCAACTCAAAGAGATATGATAGTCCAAGACTCAGACAGGCTGCACTGATGACACCCGTGCTTAATTGTTTACATTCTCACAATACCTGCAGCTTAAATATGCCCCAACAAGTCCCCAAGACAAACATTTTCAATGCACATCTTTTTTTTCATTTAAATCTATGACTAACTGTGCACAATCTCATTTGCCAGGTTTCTATAGCCACACAAGACAATAAGAATAAACAGTTAACCAACTTTTTCAGCTTAAACTCTTTTGGAAATGACACAAACAAAACAGTTTTACGTGTTACAAAAATAACAAGTAAAAAAGCTTTATTCTGTAAGCTATGGCAGCATTAAAACAATCGCCTTTACATTCTCTTATTTGTCAGGATCTACTTATAATAGTGGATCTACTTATAATATTGTAAGGCTGTCTAAAGGAGCCACTGAAATTACAAGGGAAGAAACAGTCTGCATATTAGTATTTTGCCTTAGGTTCATAGCACAGTAAAAGTGGCTCAGCAATACTTAGAGTACCCTTATAACTTAGTTTTGTGCTTAAAAAAGCTGACTATAGCAAAAAAGCTTTAATAATACAGTCAACTGGTATAGCATCACAGATATGGCACATTTGTATGTTTACACAGTGCAAGAGAATCACACAACACAAAGCAAAAATAGTGTAAACAATTAACAAATGGGAGAGCACTTTTAAAGAGCAATACATGAAAAACATTAACACCGTATGTACTGTAGTTGTGCTCTTAGTAACATCATTATTACAGTTATAAGGAAGTAAGCCATCTTGAAAAACAAAAAGAAACAGTAGCCATTGCTGTGAAATAAAGATTTATAGGCAATATTGTCATAAGTCATTATAAAGAAGCAACAGAATAAAAGATGCATCAGAAAATCCAAAAACTACGAGAAGCAGTCTAACATAAAGAACTACGATTAAACAGCTTGACAAAGATTTTCAGTGGTTGCTAGAATGGCCTGGGTGAAACGATTTCCCAATTTAGCAACACAATGATCCTAAAACTACAGAACATAGCTATTGTACAGCCTGCAGCTAAGTTAGCCGCCCCAATCATGTCACACAAAAGGAAGACTGTTGCTTTTGTTATAGCTGTTGTAAGTTTTTAAATTTGGCTACAAAATCTGTTGTTGAAAATGATCCAAGATGAGAACAGAAGAGTTCCATACACCAGTCCCAGTACAGTTCTAACTCCTGATGTGGTGCTGTTCTCAGAGGCTTCCATGCTTTACATTGTTTTAGATCACACCGGCTCCCGCTAGAAACATCAGATAAAGGAATAAAGTGTCAAAGGTATGATTAAACTATGATAACATTGAAGCACCCATAAACCCAAAGCCACAGACAGACATCCGGGTCGGCAGGGCGACAGACGGGCGCTCTATCTAAAATTGGGACAGATTAAGTTGCATCTCATCCCGGCTCAGGCTGCAATTAATAAATATCAATTAACCCATTGTTTTTATCTTTTTTACATTAAACATTTAATAATCGGATAGCAAAAGGTTCCTTATTGAATATTTTTTACAGAATTAAACTAGTTTAAAAAATTTCCGCTTTATTTCTGGGTAGAGCATATTGACAGACAATTTTTAAAATATTAAATGCAGTTTTTATTTTATTTTATTTTGTAAAATTACTGTTCTACATGGGTTGCTCTGTCAGCTTAATTCACGTTTTAGTCTCTATACTTCAGTTAACGATTAATCTATTACTAAATTAGTTGATGATTATTTAAATGATTAGTCATAAAATAAACCGATAAATTGTTTTAGCTCTAATTCCCACACTTTTTCAATCCTTCATTAAGTTCCTGCAAGAATAATCAGTCATTTAGCAGATTAAGTGGAGTTCATTAAAAAGATTTTAACAGAATAGCGTGATGTCAAGAAGACTTTCCAACACTGCAAAGTATATACACTAGGAAAGTCATTTTTTCTTAAAATAAGTGTATTTTCCCTTGTTTCTAGGAGGTATTGATGTCTGCCAATGGAATAGGGTAGTTTACATCTAAATTAAGAAAAACACTACTCCATTATCTTTTTTTATGTGAATAAAATCTAATTATCTTACTTTAAGGGCAAAAATACTCTGCATTGTCAGATCATCTTACTACCTGCTCAAACACCAAATACACTAATTTTAAGAAGTTTTGATCCCTTCAGACCAGTTTTTGCATGAATCTGAAGACTTGGAGCTTATCACAAAAATGTCGAAATACCAAAGAAAGCATCTAGAAAGCTCATCACTATAAACAGTTGAAATCTACAAATAAAAGCAGAAACTTGTTTTTCACTCTTATCCTTATCACATGACTTCATTATCTATTAAACGCTCCGTGTCTCCTTTTGATTCAGGAAGTTTTTGGAATATTCAAAATTATTTAAAATTTGGATCTGTTAAGTATATGAATAATTGTTTAATTTAGCTGTCTGACAGTAGCAAAACAGTATTATGTATATGTTTGCTTTAAGTGTACGGCCCAACCCTGCATGGAAAACAGTAGACTCACATTTAGTGTAGGAATTACAAAAGAGGAAAGACTATGAGAAACAAAGGACAATGCATAAGGAAAGCATTGACTTGGAACAGAAAAGCAGCAAGACTAGCGGGAAATAGGCAGGAATGATGCCAGAAAATCCAGGAAACCAAAATAATAGACTTTTAACAACTGGGAGGGTCAAAATGAGAACACAATCAGAGGAGCTCAGGGTAGCTGACTATTAAACACAAAATGAAAAGAGAAGAAGCTGAGCAAGGATAGATAGAATCAGCTAACCAAAGCAAAAGGAATAACGCAAAAAAAGGAACCTGAACCAACTAAACAGTGACTAGAAAAACAAGAAGGTATTAGGAAACTCAAAACAAAGAAGCAAGGTAATATGGAACAACCTTATTGGCTATAAGAACCAACCCGAAAAATCCCCCCTACCCACCCACTCAAAAAAAAAATAAAAAAAAACACAAATACAGCACAATCATTGCAACAAAATCAAGGAAACTTCACCATATCTGTTAGTAGAGTGATCAAATGTAAGCACTGAAATTAAAATGATAAAATGCTGTCAATGAGATAAAGAACAGCATGAATTTGATGATTGGAGTTACTTTCAAAACTCATAGAGGGACCTATGTCCAAAAAGAAGATGTGATCATTGAGCCTTGGCTTGTTTAAGTTGAGAAACCCATTTACCCCATATGCAACCGGTAAAGGAAGTGTTTGTTAATACAGAGGCAATCATTTGGAGAGCTCAACCACAGAACACAAATTTAGCATTTTTAAAGCAAAAGCACCTAAGCATGTGCAAAAAAAGATAACTTAATCATGCACCACAGATAAAAGCACCCAGTTCTTGGAAGAATTAATGTTTCACCAAGTGAAAAAAAAAATCTTCTTAGAGAGAGAGCTTTAAAGGAAAGCCATCCAACATTTAAGTATGCAAAAATCAGCTTCAGTTAGGATTGGATGAGGTAGGTTCATAGTTGCCTTTTGGTAAAGCGCATGTTCCTGTTGATTTCAGCAAATAGATACCGCCGATGAAAATCAGAACTCCGACGACCACAAATACCACCAGGATGGCTATAAAGGTAGTCCTATCCCCTGTGGAAGATGGGAATTTTGTTACATTCTCACTCTCTGGACAGACCATCATGTTCTTTCAACAGATGACTTTCTTTGTCTATGATAGACCACATATCCCAAAGTAAGGATTACAACAAATAATAAAATGAGTAAAATCCCAGCAGTGGTTCCTGGTTGACCGCCTAATGGAGAACAACAGCAAAGAGAATTACAGACAAAAACAGAGAAGGACATGAAAATACATTAGGTTTTGAAGCATTGTATTACCTGTAGGTGTGTCAACCTGGAAATATTTGGTGGTGGTACCCGCCACATTAGAAGCCTTACAGGTGTAGAGTCCTGGATTTCTGAATTCCAGAGACAAAATCGGCCCGGTTTCATTTTCCATTTGGATCTCCGGTTGTGTAGGGCCTTTAAAGTGCCAGCTGTAAACCGGGGTAGGGTTTCCTTCAGCCGTGCCATTTAAAGATATTTTTGAACCAGCGTTTTTTTCCAGGGTCTCGTTTTGAGGCTCAGCGAATGTTGGTGGGTCTGATGATTACAATGAAGTTACGAATAAGAAACAGTAGGATAAAGAAATAACAAAAACAATCAACTCCTGTTAATGTGTAAATTAAGAGAAGGTTTGAAACGTACAAAAAACTTTTAATACGTATGTCTCTGATCGCTTCGGTGGAGGACTTTGCTCTTCTGGAACAAACTTTAGCCTGGCTTCACACCAGACCTCTTCTCCATTATCCTCTACATCAACCTTTAGTGTTGTGGTAAAGGTTTCATCGACAGGTGAACGATCTTGACGTGTAGAATTCTGTTCATGGATTATCTTGTTTCCTTTGTACCACCTTATGACAAGACTGTTTGCTGGTGCAACATCTTTAATGTCACACTGTAGATCATAGCTAGAAGTGGCTCTCATAGGGTCTTTGGGCTTAGACATGGATACTTTGTCTGGCATTTCTGAAGCAGAAAGTGATAAACAAAACAAAAACCTAATTAGAAAACTCATTAATTAATTCTGAAATGTAAATATAGAGTATGATTGGCTTTTTTGTAAATGTCATAAAAGCAACTTACTGTAAACGGTGAATGGTAGCTTTTGAATGTTCTGTTCATCATTCAGAAACGAAACAAAACACTTGGGATCTACATTCCAGTCCGTAACTTTATCAAAGGTAGTACTCAAAGTAGATATACCCTCTTTAAGTCCTGTTCCTCCAAATGAAGACTCCCATCCCATTCCGGCTATATCGTTGCACTGGGATATGTAGCAGCTGGCTGCAGCAGAACCTCCATATTTAACAAAAACCTTTGGAGGATTGAACTTAATTTGACAGGAATGTGCAGACTTTCCTACAGGGACACAGAGGAGATAAACTAGGTAAATGTTTACAGCACACATATTAACTTAAAGCAGACATGTTAATACTCTGATCTAGTCCATATTTGAGATGAAATGGGTCCATGTATTAAGTCATACATAATGACATAGAATGGTACAGACAAAATTATAATTTATTTCTAAATGCTGCTATGTGCAAATCAATATCAGATGGTTTAATATTATGAAATTTCTTATAAAGGTATTGCATAGAGTGGTATTACCGCTACGGAAAGTGAAGAGAACAATTTTAAAAAGTCCTACTGTTTTAAATGCTAATGAAAATGTTGACATCTGCATCTGGAGGTGCCAAGAACCATCTATGAACATAAAACAGCAGGAGCCAGTTGTTCATCTTTATCCTAAATCTGCCCTTTATGTCCAAACTATGCCTATGTTAATACAGCTAATGTCTTCTACTTAGCTGCAGCTCAGCTAGAGAAAAGGCTGATGTTTAATTTGGGGTCTGATCTTTAAAGATTTCAAAATAGGCATTGAATTGTTTGTGCCAAAAAAAAAATAAATGCACATGCACTAAGTAGGCATGTCATGGGTGTTGAACCATGTTTAAATGAGCAAATGATAACAGACGCAAAGCCAGTTGAGCCCCCCCTATTAAAAAGAAGAAATTTCATTCTAAGCCATGGATTGGGAGCTAGAAATGGTAAGAATATAACTAAAGTACAAACTACTAAGTTAAAACGAAAGGGAAATTAAATGTTATTTTTACTCATAGAGATTTTTTAAACAAGCTGTTGTAAATGTTAATAAATATTGGTAAGAAGGATCTTTGGTAGAGATCTGTCTTGCAGCACATCCAAAGAAACCTTTAACTGAAGATGCTCTGTTGATGTTCAAAGGTCTTCTTTAGGGGAAACTCAGTGCTCATCTCCACAGGTTATAAATAATAATTATATATTATATATCAAACGAGATAAAAACAGACTTAGAGACTGCACCGTCAATACTTAAGAGGCTTGTTGCAGATAAAGTTTCATAAAGTGGGCACATATGTCAAAAAATAATAAATTTGCGCCTGCTCCACATATTTCAGACATGCTACACCCAGTTTGTTGATCAGCTGTGTGCGTGTTTTCAAACAGGCTCATCTGTTGGAGATTAGGCTCTTGATTGTCATGTTTCAAGCCATACAACCTAAGGATCCCATCGGAGAAAAGTTCAGATTTTTATTTTATTTCAATGCATTAGTGCATATATGCATCATACCATTGGGGGGGGGGGGGGGGTGCATATCACAGGGGTCTCCTGCAACTCTTAGGTGCATCCCTGCTCAAATACAAATCAAATGAGCAAATATCTCTTTAGTATGCCATCCAGTTAGGCAAAGGTCACTCATTTCATTCAGGTTTGCTGCAGCAGGCATGCAGCTATAAACTGCAGAACAGCAGCTCTGTGGGACTGGAGTTGTAGACCCCTGATTTACACCATGCTATTTATAGATTAACATCATGCTTTCTTCGTAATATTTCTTTTTTAAGGTCTGGCTCTTGGTTTAAGATGGTTTAAGATTCCTTAGATGTTAGCTGTTGCTTTTACAACTAGATCATTTGATCATCTCTTATGTTAAAATGCTGCAGAGATAAAATATTTAAAAAAAACAACCTTGGTTTTCTGACTTAAATTATTAGCCCTATAGTGATGCTTAGTATTTATTAATCAATTAGAAATAGTTTCTTAACCAGACAAAATGAAGTGCAGCACGGAATGGCCATGCATCTATCTAAAAACAAAGAAACTTCCCATATATGTAATTACATGGCAATGAATCACGACATCGATCGGCGAATTAGTTTCAACACCTTCGTGGATTCAACATGTAAATCATTTTCATTTTAACCTTGTCGCCAGGATATGCGTTTTACAGTAATATTTAAGCATATATCTATTGTGTTTAATGTAATCGGTGATTAAAATGGAGAAAATAAAGAATGGGCGTAGGCTGCGATAGAAACAGGCGACGCGCTAATATCCGGCGGACAGTGACCGAGCGGATCGACTGGACCCATGGAGGGAATAACCAGCCAGCTGGGAATGTTTACTTACCTGAGTACAGGATAAAGGTGACGAGCATGAATAACCGCATCGTGGTTAGCCGCTGCAACAGTCAGTTATGGGTACGGGGACGGTCTGTGTGGTAAATTTAACTTCCTTCCTGATCCTACAAAGACTGCCCCCTCCTATTACCTGGAACCGAGAAAGAGAAAGGAATAAGCAATGCGTTGCGTTTACGTGCGTGTCGTAAAAGTCCCTTTCATGAGTCATTAAATAAAATTGCGGCAGGTGTCCTCCCGCTACTGGAGAAAAAGGACCAGTTCGTAATTTTTGAGGAACCCTTTTTTTTCTTTTCTTCTTAATGTACTCCTTTCTGAATGGTATGTTAGGGAAGAAGATCAGGGCCACTGAAAAATAAAAAAAGTGAACTGATTTTTAAATATTATTTCCGTTAAATATGGGGAAAAAGTCCGAATTCTGAGATAAAAAAAGTCAGAATTCTGCAATTAAAGTCAGAATTCTGAGATTTAAGTCAGAATTCTGAGATTAAAGTCAGAATTTTGAGGAAAAAAAGAAGTCAGAAATCTGAAAGAAGTCAAAATTCTGAAAAAAAAAAATCAGAATTCTGAGATTAAAGTTGTCATGATGGGCTTAAAGGACTCAACCCACATGCAGAACCCCAAACTGGAGACAGAGGAAAATTTAAGAAAGTTTATTAAAGAGGGAACACACAGAGTAATATGGACTGATTCTGGTACAGGTCCGGGACTGGTTTCACAGATATCTGAAGATATGAGAGTTTGATTAGCCAACAAGTTAGATGGTTTGACGAGTGAGCAATTTCTGAATGTACCATGAAGTGGTTCTGACAGATCCTTGAGATGGGGAACCGGTTGGGTAAGGAGATTGTGGAGGTAGCAGAGAGCTCAGCAGCAGCAGCGTCTATCTTCTGGTTAGTGAGACTCTGACGTGGGTTTTGTTCCTAGCTCTTCCCTGAGAGCTGAGGGGGGAATCCAGACAGAGATCTTCAGGTTTAGCTTCCTAGCTCTTCCCTGAGAGCTGAAGGAGGAATCCAGACTGAGATCTTCAGGTTTAGCTTCCTAGCTCTTCCCTGAGAGCTGAAGGAGGAATCCAGACTGAGATCTTCAGGTTTGGCTTCCTTGGGCAGGCAGGCAGGTTTCCAGGTAAAGTTCATCCAGAGCTTCAGACTTCAGTCAGGCTTTCTGTGAGTAAAGAAGACAGAGGCAGGTTAGAATCCAGTTTCTCTCTAGAGTCTACTGTGATTCACTAGATTAACAGAGGCTTAGGTTTTGCTAACCAAACTTGGTCAACAGTCCGGCATCGAAGGAAGGTCTGAGTGCTGCTTATGTAGGAAGGTCTCCTGATGAGTTGATGAGTTTCAGGTTTGCTGGAGGCTCCAGCCCAGGAGACCCACAGCGCTCTCTGCTATGGACAGATGGTAGATATCCAGATCCCAACAGTAACCCCAGTCCTTAAAGGAATAGTACACCCAAAACATGATTAGCCTTCATTTTCTACTCACCCCCATGCTGAACAACACTCTGGAGTACTTTTTTGATATCTCAAATGCATCTGTAGATCTGGGAGGCTTCTTGCCGTCTGCTGACATTCAAATAATGGAGGTCTATGGTGCCCGAGACAGAAAGGTCCATAAAAGTCCACAAAAAAACGTGTCAATATTCCTCCATACTGCTCGTCCAATGTATTCCAAGTGTCCTGAGTGGGTAGCGTCCAGAATTTACTCGAAACGAAGTCATTTAGAATGTTTTTAGAACATAAACAGTAGTGTAGGATTTCCTGAAAGCGCGCCTGCGAGTTCACGACGCTACGGAAACTGCGGCAGACCAAACCAGATGAAAGTGCGCATTCAGCTCAGCAAAGAACTCATGCTCTTCCTCAACACTGAAGTCCTCAGACATTTTTCTTTTGTTGTTTCTTTCTTTGCACAGGTAAACAGCACATTCATCTGGTTTGGTGTGCCGGCTTCTGTAGCGTCGTGAACGCGCAGGCGCGCGCTTTTAGGAAATCCTATACACTACTGTTTATGCTCTAAAAACATTCTAAATGACTTAGTTTCGAGTAAATTATGGACGCTACCCACTCAGGACACTTGGAATACATTGGACGAGCAGTATGGAGGAATATTGACGCGTTTTTTGTGGACTTTAATGGACCTTTCTGCCTCGGGCACCATAGACCTCCATTATTTGAATGTCAGCAGACAGCAAGAAGCCTCCCAGATCTCTAGATGCATTTGAGATATCAAAAAAGTACTCCAGAGTGTTGTTCAGCATGGGGGTGAGTAGAAAATGAAGGCTAATCATGTTTTGGGTGTACTATTCCTTTAACAGAAAACATATAACAGAAGAGGATCCTCGGCGCCCTCTGGTGGGCAAGCCTCAGGATCCCAACAAAAATCAGAAATCTGAGAGAAAAAAAATCAGAATTCTGAGATCAAAGTCAGAATTCTAAGAAAAAAAGTCTGAATTTGTCATGATCTGGCCTGTTTGCTCTCCCTTAATTAGTAATTCCTTTCACCTGTTGTTTTCCCTCCCTGCCTCAATTATAATTTATTCCTCTCACCTGTTTCCTCTTGGTTGTATTCAGTTCAGCCTGAGCATTCAGGGCCAGATCATTATTTGTCTTTCTGTTAGCCTGTCTGTTATTCTGATTCCTTGGTTCATGTTTTGGATCCTGGCGGCCAGTGGAAAGAGGTTTTTGTGTTTGTCTTGTCTCCTGATCGTCCACTGTTCCTCCCCTGTGGAGTCCTTTGGGTTTTTGGCTCCATATGTGGGGAGGCTCAGTTTTTATCTCAGTAAGCCTGGCTCCAAGGAGGAGACCAGTTTAAAGGTTCTGCATCAAGTTCTGGTTCCACGTCCTGTCTCGGCTACCCTCTTCCACTGAGCCTGCTCATCTGCACCTGATCCTCTCTGCTCCTGTGCGTGACCGCCTGGTCACGCTTTTGGACCATGTCAGACTCTGAACCCTCCTGGGAGCTTGTGGATGCCTGGAAGGCTGAATCCTGCCACCTGTTCTGTTCCTGTCTGTTCTGGATCCCTGACCAGGATCGGCTTCCAGCATGTCTCTGGGACTGCAGCACTTGGGGACATTCTTGGACTGGACTGTTAAACCAGAGTGTCTGTGATTGGGTGGTGCCCCGCTCCCCATCCTGCAGTGTCCGTGAGCCACAGCTTAACTTTAGTTTTTGTTTTATTTAAAAAAAGTTTTTGAACTTTCCTACTGAGTGTCTCTCCTTGAATACTGTGTCCATCTGTCTGTGCTTCATGACAGAATTCTGGAATTAAAGTCAGAATTCTGAGGGAAATAAATTCAGAATTCTAAGATTAAAGTCTTTTTCAGAATTCTGAGAAAAAAACCAGAATTCTGAGATTAAAGTCAGAAATCTGAGATTAATGTCAGAAATTTACTATTAAAGTCAGAATTCTGAGAAGTCAGAATTCTGAGATCAAAGTCGGAATTCTGACTTTTTTTCCCCATATATATATATTCTAAAATAATATTTAAAAATCGGTTAACTTTTTTTTTTCAGTGGCCCTAATCCTCTTCCGTAGTATGTTCTTCACAAACAAGGAAGGTTTTATGCTCAGAGAAAATCCCAAGGTCATTAATTTGCCATAAAAATAATTCAATTATTTAAAAACAATTTCAACTGAATATTTAAACTCGTATACGATTTTTTAAATTAAGCATTTGTTTAGAATCAAATGACAATTTTAAACCAACTATTTGTATAAGATGGATTTTTCTGATATTTCAAGTAATACAAAACTTTGTTCACTGACAATTTATGAAGGTTTCAAAGGCAAAGTGGTATAAAAACATAATTTTAATAGTTAAAAAAAAACTTCTTTTGAAAAATAACAAATATTTACAGCAGTATTCACAAATGTGTACAGTGTTCTTTCAAATATCACAGTCTGGACTGCTTTGGTTTCAAAATAATTAACTAGCTTTACACATGCAGTCGCTTTTTAAAGCAAACTTTCAACTGTTCTTCATAAATAAATATAAACTCCTCATTTATATCAAATATTTTCTTGAATATACATTTAAAGGCTAGAAATGGCAACAGTCAGGCATAGAAAAAGCATTGAGAATTTCATCCATCGGGCTAGAGGAGCCTGGCACAATTTGGCACCAGTGAAAAAGGGCAGGCACAGTTAGAGGAGAGGCAAATGAATGCAAAATAAAACAGCTTCCAGATTTTCATTCATTTATCATGATTAACAACTGAACCAGATCAGTTTCAGGTTTTTCTTAACAGCTAAAGCTATGCCCTTTTTTCTTCTTTTTCTAAATGAAACTGAAGAAAAAAAAAAAAAACACAAACAGAATCTAATGGGGACACATTGATATAAATAAGACCTGAATGTTATACAAAACCAAAGCAAACACATTATATGCCCTTCTTATTAAAAGTACAAAATCTGTTTCTAAGGCAAATTTTATGACCTCATTTCTTCATTTTTCTTATCCATTAAAACAGATGATAACAACTTGAGAATTTTTCCATAATTTAAAGGCATAAAACCTTTAGAAGAAAGATAAAAAAAAGCATATTTAAGAATAATATGAAGCTACTTCCAGTCTGTCCAGTGTGAATCTCCTGTCTGCATTTTTAGACCTAACAGCACTGTAGAGATGGACCTCTGAAATAAACAGATATCCTTCATTAACAGCAGTTCTATTAAGACAGCTTGGTTACTGGCAACTGGATGTCCCAGCTGTTGTGAGCTACATTCCCATTGTGACTGCTGAGCTTTGGGTTTTTAAGACTGTAGCGACGCATCTTGGTGTTCTTGTAGTAGATTGAGTAGATGAAGATGAAGATGATGGAGATGATAACAACTGTGAGAGCCACAAATCCAGCTAGAAGGGGCAGGTAGTCCTCTGAAAAGGAAAAAAAAAAAAAAAACAATGTTACAAAAGGCTGCAATTTAAGGAAGTGTAATTTATAAAAGCTTTAAACAATGATTTTCTTATAAAAGAATATATATATATATATATATATATATATATATATATATATATATATATATATATATATATATATATATATATATATATATATATATATATATATAGTTTTCGAGAACTCTTTTCTTGATGTACAACAATTAAAAGTTGTGCATATTATTGTTTAGCACATTATATTCACAACATTGATAATAATTTTACATGCAGCATGTATGCATGATTTTCCTTTTACATCACATTCAAGATATCTTGTGTTGGGCTGGAAAACAAACAATTCATGCATTCAATCTTTTTTTTAAAAGGCCGAAGACGCATTTCAACCAACAGTAGAAAATCTGTATTTTAATCATACCTTTTTTTTTATTGTTATCCCCTGATGGCTGCTTTATATCCAAATAACTACTGCCTATTACACAACATTCAGACTGACTGATCTTGAAATGCTCACCATCTGCAAAACTAGGCTCCTTGTCCAAAAATAATGTAACATTTTATTTATCCCTATTTTGTGTTGGACTGTTTTTTTCTCGTCTTTTGCTGTGGCTTGGTTTCAATAAGCTTCTACAACTTCAGAGCTTCTTGTTTACACCACGAGTCCCTTTAATTTCCCGCAGGAACTTGTAAAGATAATGGGAGATGTGGAATTCTGCAGAATCCTCTTCAGTACATCACAAAGAAGATTACTGGGGATCAATTCTGGATGCTGTCGACAGATCCATGCGTAAACCTGATATCTAAAGATTGACCTCTTGCACAAGCCCAATAAATCCTGGCATTGCTATATTCAGGTTCACCCCATTTTTTGGATACACTTCTTTACTGAACCTAGATCTGCCATAAAAAAGCAGCAAACCATGATCAAAGCACTGCTAAGATTTCAGAAATTAAATCCAGCTTGTCATAAAAAAACAGTTACAGATATTCACATTCTTTAGACCATCCTGTGCCAGAAGACCAAGCGATGCAGTCTCTTTAGTATCTGCTGCTATTGTTGTGTTTATTAATAAACAGTGAAGTCAATACTATTTAAATCAAACTTAGGCAGCTCCCTTTAATTTTCCATACACAATGTATGTTATTCATTGTGTAAAGTATTTTTTCATATTGCATAGTCCATCCTTTTAAACAATATTAATACAATTATTACAATATCATTACGGTTGGTCGACCTTTGATTGACCAAAATCCAATCTTATTTTTCTTTCCCAATGAGCTTCTCCACTCAGTTCTTTTTTAAGGGGGGCATATCATTCCCTTAATATCACTTCTTTTCATATTTAAATAATTCACTTGTGGTTTGTATAAAGTGTGACTGCGGTGCTTTAGTCTTAATTTTTCTTATTGTTGCTTCACAAGTTCCTCTTTCACTCCTATTCTGAGGGTTGGGTCTTTCTGACTCATTTTGTTGTGCTCCATTTAATGCACTTCACACCCGACGCCCCTCAAGGTCCCAAAGCATGCATTCCACCCGGGTTCAGCTATTTTTGTAGCCTAATAACAGTGATACGATTATCTAGCAGAGATAGGGGGATTGCATGGCTTATTACAGCTACTTGCAGCTTCAGCATTCTTAAGGTTGAACTAAAAAAATCATTATAATGAATAAAAAAGGTGAATTCAATAAATTAATAACAATAAAGTTTATGACCTTGAGTTTTGTGTCTCCAACAAATACTGAAAGAAAAAAACAGCAACAGAGAATGGAGAAAACTGAATGGATAAAAAAAATATGACCCAAAAACAGAATAAAGATATATATGCAGCACCTGGATTAACAAAACAAAACTTTACTGTCGTATTACATAAAAAAAAAAAAAAAAAACATAATGGAGATTGGGTCAATGCGGTCGTTAAAACACTCAAGTGTGGAAGGAAGGCTGTATCAAACATCAGCCAGAACTCGCATGTAATGGGATCATGGATAACAGGATGCTGGACCCCTTTTCTTTGTTCCTGTGTCAAAAATCATCAGCGAAGGGCACATTTTTTGTATGTTTCATGTCAATGTTTTGAAGTTGATGTTACTTATTTTATGCTATCGAAGCAAAATTCTGTACGAGCTGTAGAGATCTGTTTCAAAGCACATTCAGCCAAATCAGCATGAATTGACACAATAGAAGAAAAATAATCAAAGTGTTAGAAATGCATTCTTCCCATTTTGTTTTACCCTGACTCTGCAGGGCTTCAAAGCAAGCCCCTCCCCACAAAAAACAAAAAAATAATTGAAGCCATTTCCAACATGGGTGCACTGATTGAGCAGAGTCTTGACCTGCTGATTCTGATCTTTACTGATCAAGATTTTTCAAACAACTGACACTTACAGGTGTTACAAGGTCACAATAAACTATAACTGCAAGATGTTAGGAAAAACTTTAATGGGATAACATTGTCATTAAGATATTTCCAGTGATTTGTGACTAAATATCCAAAAGATATTCACAGCCCCTCGCTTTTCCCACATTTTATCTCAGGTCCATTTTGTTCTTGAGACTAACAAAGCCCTTTCTGCTCATCGTACTTATGGCAAATCTCCCAGACTCTGTTGGTTTGTTGTAAATTGCACTGGCAGGCGTGTCTGGTAAAGTAGAAACAGTGCTAGAAACTTCAACTATGATTTTACCCATTGTCTCTTTCTCTGTCCCACTGATAGAAAATATGGAAAACGTACAACTACGTCATTACAAATGTAGGAAATTAGAAGCTTTACTTTGAAGGTAAAACCTCTGTATTGTCTGCAAAGTTTTTGCTAATGCTCACAGTATGCACACAGTTAGTGTGAGCATTTGGGAGCCTTTAGTTGTTCTAACATTTGCAACTTTGTTTTTGCTGGTGCCAGCTTTTTTGGAATTTTTAAAACTGTATTTTGTATTTAAGGTAAAAATTAAGATTAGTTAAATTTCTTCTTATGGCCACTACAGGTGCTCAGCTTGTCTAGTAGAGTACTTCTGTTTGCAGAACGTTGTCTCCCTCCTTAAAGAAAAGCATCTCAAATTAAAACACATGCAGTTTTATTTTAGATGAACTATTGGTTTTAAGTTGTTTTCTTGACTATTGTAATTCTGATTAAACTTGGTGAGTTTGTTAGCTGGCCACATCTATGAAAGCGGCTGAATCTAATGTTAAGAGATCCATCCAACTGGCCAAAAACTAAGGGGATCCATTTGACTGGTCAGATGTTTCAAGCTTGGGTGCGATTGATCAAACACAGATGAACCACATTTTTGCAAACATTTGAGCCAACCATTTTAGCGGCATGTGATATGCCTGCTGCAAAGGTAATATACATCGAAGACTATGGCTATAAGAATATTAATTTTCTGATTATGAATTCATTGTCATTCATTTCTACACATTGATTTATATAACCAAAGATCAATTTAAAAAGAATGCATTTCCACTGTTCTTAACTAACATTACCTTTTTAATTAGCTGGTGAATGTTAATATAATATTAGTATTAATATTTAGCATAACTACACAGAAATTTAATTCAGGCCACTGCTAAAAGTTATGTTTTTACTATCAATCCAATTTTAGATCACATCAAATCATATAGAAATTAACTCTAAACCTTGAGAATTGGAATGGAATCCATCCAATATGCATCAATATCCAGCTTTATCAATCTATCTCTGACTCTGACCTGAACCTTCAGTGGCACATAAAGACAGTTACTAAGTCGACCATACATCACTAGCACTGAAGGACTAATATATTAGCAGGAGGTAAAAAAAAAAAAAAACTTAACTAATTCATGTGTTCATCTTCAGTAGAATTGATTTCTTCATCACCATCTTGACAAGTCTGCCTAAAAGGTTGATCAAGAATACTGCTGCTCACGTCCTCATTTAAGTTTAGAAAGTGGAGCACATGACCCCAGTTCCTTCCATTCGCTCTCCGTATCTCAATTGACAAACTTATGATACTTCTGTTAGTTTATAAATTACTGAATGGCTTGGCTCCAAAATAGATTACAGACTTGTTGTCAGTAGATCAACCACCCAGATATTTCAGGTTTTCTACCTCAAATCTACTATGCATACCCAGAACCGGAACAACACATGGAAATTAAGATTTAAGTTCTCATGTTCCACTGATCAGGAACAAACTCCCATTTAACTGTAAGAATGCTGAAAACCTAAGTTTCTTATAATCAAGATTTTTTTAAAAACACATGTTTAGAGTGGATTTTGGCTGTGTTATCTAAACATTACTAGTGAGGTTTGAACTCCAACTTTTCTTTCATTTCATTAGCAATCATTTTATCATAATTTTTTAAGATAATTTTACCAATTTATCTATTTTGTTTTCATTTTTATTGCCTTTCGTTTTCATATTCATTAACTGTGTGATTAACTTTATGTCAAAGCATTGTACTTTTCCTATTTCCTATTTCTTTTTTCATTAACAGCACTTTGAATTGTCTTGCTACTAAAATATGCAATACAAAAAAACTCCTCTTGCCTAGTTTATGAATATAGAAAATACATCTTTTGATATATTGGGGGAGCCCCATAAAACAGCTTTAATATTCCAATCAAATTTTTATTGGAAAACTCTGAGCAACAGCTGTAAAACAATGCAAACTTTTTTTAACTGCACAGTTAAAAAAAAGTAATAACAAAGATGGTAGTCCTCTCAAATTAAGATGAAACATTTAGAGTACTAGAAGTGGGGGATTTATATACCATTGCAGAGCTAGATACCATTGATAGATATGATTGATATGTTAATCTCAACCCAAATTAAGAAAATCGACTAGTTGAGTCCTTGCTGCACCCCTATTTCCATATGTGTGTTTCTGCAGCAGAGTTATACTTACCTCCTAGAACGACTTTAACCCGATGTGTGTCCGAGCTGATGTTGTTTGTAGCGGTGCAGAAGTAGAGGCCCTCCTCGTTCACAATTAGTGTTTCATTTGACTCAAGAAAAGCTGTTTTTGAGGTGTAATTCCATTTGATATCTGGGGCCGGGTTGCCATCAGCTTCACAAACAAGCTCCCCTTTATAACCTCTGATTACTAGAAACAACTCTTGAAGCTTTGTTTTGTTAATCTTGGGTCCATCTGTTAATAAAGGAGAGGAGATAATAAAGTTTATTCTTATAATTCAACATCATAAATAGATATTTTGCCCATTTGATTTGGGCATTTGGGCACTGACTGCTATGAAGTAAATGTAAATCTCACATTGGACGCTGAGATTGAAATAATTGGATGACATGGTTGGAGGAGGTTGCGGTCCTTTAGGTCCCAGGTTAAGTTCAGCTTCACATCTGGCCTGGATTCCATTGTGAGTCCTATTCAGAGTGATGTTCATGGTGCAAGTCACATCTACAGCAGATGTATTGTTGGAGGGACTGCATTTGGCCTCATTGCTCACTCCCAAAGAATCTGGGGGATTACAGAAAAACCCACATAGCTGAAATAATAATACATTATAATGTATAGGGCTTTATATAAGCTGTGACTCTGATACAAGCTGATATAATAAAGGGTTCAAAGACTTGATGACAAAATTAAAATTTTTTTTATTTCCATTGGACACTGGGGCTGAACTGCAGTAAATTTATTGGAATCAGATCCTACCAAAAGAAATCTAGACAGAGACATTTACTTAAACTCTTCGGTATATTAGTAGTTTTATGAGTATATTTTAGGGCTGAAAAAATTAATCTGATTAATCGATCATTGCAATAATCGTCGACTAATTTTATAATCAATTGTTAACTGGCGTACAGAGACTCTAAAACATTCCTTTAGCTGACAAAGCAACGCACTTAGAGCAGTAAAAAAGATATATAAACATTTAGCATTTTTAATCTGTCAATATGCTCTATCTAGAACTCCTCAAATGGAAAAGATTAAGCAGGTTTCATCTTGTTTAATTTTGCAAAAAGTGTTCTTTAAGGAACATTTTGCTATTCAATTATTAATCGACAAAAACAAAAAAATTATTGACAAATGAATCAATTAGCAAAATAATCATTAGCTGCAGCCCTAGTTTATTTATAAATGTCTGTGGATAACAGCCATATATGCAAATCAGATCAATTATTGGGCTGTAAATGGTTAACTAGTCGATTACAACATTAAATATACCACAATGAGCGACAACTATAGCAGCTCTACACTTAGTGCCCTCAACCATTGGAGAAGTGAACAAGTGAAAATAACTGGATTGCCAAAAAAATAAAAAAGGAAGAAGTTTTAATTTTGTTTATAATCAATAGAAGGAGTTATTTTGTTGTGAATTATGATGGTGGGTAAGTTAGAAGTGTAGAGTAACCAACGTGTAAATAGGAGCTTTCTAACCCTTCTTTTGCGCTAAATGTGGAAGTGGTGAGCCTGCACCTTTGCAGCTGATCACAGCGACTCTTGTCAGTCAAAGCTATTCCACCTGGAGCACAGTGATGCGTTTCTAAAGCAACCGCTGGGAATCCCTGCGTCTATAAAACATGCGACTGATCCATTTTTGCCGCTAAACACACCAAACACATATCGATCAGTTGATGAAAACCAAATTGGATCCGGTCCAGTTTACAAGCAAATGACTACATTTGTCCAACCGTGCAAAGATGGCCTGCTCTGAACCACTCTTTAAGGAACAGGGCACCTGGCAAAAAGCAGGGCGTAGCTGCACTGTCGCATTTCCACCCTGCTTTCACATTTAGTGGAAACAAGGGGTTAGTTTTTTTGTGAATTAATCTTCTAAGAAAAATTGTAGGATTCTAGGAACCCTAAAACTTTTCTAAAAAACACATCTTGTGGTTTGTTGTGAATATGAGTAAAGAATCCAGCCATGCTTGAAGCACTAGAAAATAACTTTATCCTTTATCTGCTAATGTGCCTATAACATGCTGTTAATTGTCACTGTTTTACTTTGACTGATTACTTTTTCACCTTATGGATAAAAATAACTTAAAAAAAGGCTGTACCAGGGTCAACAGTCTCATTCCCTCTTTGCCAAGTCCATGTAACGTTGAGCCGGTCTGCAGGAGCCACATTCCTAATGCTACACATTAGCTCTATTTTACTTTCTTCCTTTGTGGACATATTATTGATGGTGATGGAGACATCATCTGGAGGTTCTGCACGGAGAGTTGAAGGAAAACAGTTAAAGTCCATATAATCAGGTGTAATGGCAAGAAGACAAACATTAGGCCCACTTACTGTAGAGAATGTAGGGCAAAGTTTTATTACACGATCCTATCCCCAGAAACTCTCCATGGCAAACAGGACTTGGGTCCCAATTTTCATGTGTGTCAGGACTCCAACTTCTGTTATTAAATTTATCCCCATGGACCTCCCAGTATATCTCCTTAACATTTGACTCACTGGTTGTGGGCATGCAAACTGCACTATGCCCTCCGCTTTGGTATTCCAACACCATTGAGTCTGGTTGTATTTCAATGGGGCATTCTTCTACATCACCTACAGAAAACAGGATGGGGAAAAAAAGTGTGTTTTACTGCAGTTTAGCAACCATAGTTGGTGATGATATTATTTTCAGGAATATTGAAATAGTGTTTAAGAGGTAATGAGTTATAATACAATGGAAGATCTGGGGGCAACAGGAAAAGGTCCAGGAAGGATATTCCTCCTGCTGCCAAAATTCCTTAAGCTGTTTTTTACTGATAAGCTCAATACGTCATAGAATAACAATCAGCTCCCACATTTCAAGTGAAATTAAACAAAGTCTGTTATTATTAACATGACACTTTTAATTTATTTTATTTAAGAAACGTACAACTATTTTTTGATCAACCTCCAATCTATTATTTCCCATAATGTTTTGACTTTTATAAATCTTTAAACAACATGAAAGACAACTTTATTAGTAAGCATTAGACAATGAACCGTTTTGATCCCGAGTCAAGCAGAAAACATGCGCTAAGTGCGCACACTCCAAGCGCCCCAACTTACTGGACTTAGTCCCGTTAGAGAGCGACGGCAGCATTAAAACCACAATCACAGAAAGCAGGCGAAGCCAGCTGAAATCATCCATTGGAAAATAAAAAAAAATAAAACAATCAGGAGCTAAATTTTGCAATTTTCTCCTCTTTTTTTGCTTCTCTTGAGTTTCTCCTGCTTCTCCAAAGCCGAACGGAAACAGCCAGAGGCGGACTGAGAGGAAGTATAAGGAGTTTTTTTTTTTTTTTTTTTTTTTACAGCAACAGGCTAAGCTAAGCTGTGGATCCAGGCTCCGAGTCGCTCCTCATCGGGTGGAGAGGAAACCAGCCCTCCCCCCCAACACTGGGCACGGAGTCAGGGCATGCCCACACACTCCCACTGAGACTATAAATGGAGCAGCTGAGCAACAAGCAGCACTGCCTGCAGCCAAACTGCCAAATGGAAAAAATAAAAAACATGTGACACAACGAAGGTGCTTTTTTAAAGTGACTCGTTTGGTATATATTTAATAATAATAATAATAATAAATCCAATTTTGTACCGCACTTTTCATTAAGAAAAATCTCAAAGTGCTACACAGTGCAAATAAAATCAAATATAAAAATCAACCATAAAAATCATGTGGTCAATAAAATCAAAGATAAAAATAAACAACATAAAAATCATGTGGTCAATAAAATCAAAGATAAAAATAAACAACATAAAAATCATGTGGAGGCAGAATAGGCTTGCATAAATAAAAAAGTCTTCAAGCCTCTTTTAAAATCATTCAATGGTTGTGGAGCTCTCAGATGATCTGGGAGAGAGTTCCAGAGACGGGGGGCAGCGACAGCGAAGGCCCGATCTCCCATGGACCTTAATCTGGAGCGAGGAAGGTGTATATTTATATGTATGTATGCAAAAAACAACAGTTTAAAATCGTAGCCTATGCAATTATTGTGTTACATTATATAAATCAGTGGTGTTTTATTCAAAGGCAGATTCAGCCTTTGTTTTTCCCATTTTATGCAAACATGAAAGGAATTTTACTTCAATTTCAAATCATTTTATTTATATAGCGCCAATTCACAACACGAGTCATCTCCAGGCACTTTACTGCACTTTACTGTTCTATCTAACAAGAAACTTGCTGATTGCATGGACATATAAAATTGAAAACAATCCCTCACACCAAGTATGCTTGTAGCGATGGTGGGCAGAAACATTCCAGCGGAACCAGGCTCAGTGTGAGCGGCCATCTGCAGAGGCCGCTCACACTTTTGTTTAACTACAAATGGCCTCTGTATCACCCACCCAAAGTAAGATGTCTAATCTGGTCTTTTTTAATGATTTGTGGCCCCCGTTTTTTTTTCCTGAATGGAGATTATTTGAATGGAGGAAAGTTTTTAAACCAGATTGTTTGTTGTATTTTGAATCTAATGGTTGGGGTGCAGAAGATGACCAGCAGCTTCATAAACTATAGCAGCACAAGGTACAAGGCATCATCTCTTTAAAGGTATAGAGGACGATCTTTTATTTCTGGGTGGATCATCTAAATAAGGGGTCCTCCTAATTGTCAATCATTCTGGTGATATGTTTCATAAGGCCGTCCTACGTGCTCTTCCCGTTAGCTATCCTATCCTGCGTATGCTTTGAAAATGGCTGAGGGTCATGAGAGAAAAAGTGTCTACAAAGTGTATGAGAATAAAAAGGCCTTAGTAGAGACAGATATATCCCATAATGCTTTGCGAGGAGAGCTCTCCTCGCAAAGCATTATTTGCTGTCACAACGCCCGCTGTCTCCATAGGCTGTCACTACCCGACACCAGCGACTAATAACAAAGATGGAGCGTGAGTTAACCGAGTCTGCTATAAAGTCCATTATAGCCCCCATTCTAGATAGTGATTGAAGGATTCAGGGATTAGAGCGGACATTCGGGTACAGGGTTGTGCATGTGCGTTTTTTTAAAAGTGGAAAGGGCGGGTCTTTTCAAAAATTCATAAAAATCCTCCACTATACCTATAAGGAATATTTTACAGATGCTGCTTCCTGTTACACATATCTAATAATTGAAAGGTTATAGGAAAGAAAAGCTTCTGTTTTGATGAGTCCCTTCAGTTTTATGGATCACTTCTGTGCGTCTCTCTGGGCTTACCTTTGACAGTGACTCGAACTGTTTTGGTGACGTTGCCTCTCACATTTGAAGCATTGCAGGTGTAGAAACCTGTGTTGAACCTAGTGGCATTATGGATGATGAGACCAGACACTCCATCTTCAGTTCTTACTTTAATGTTGCCTGCCTTGTGGTAACTCCAGGAGTAGGTTGGGCGTGGGTATCCCACAGAAGAGCATTTAAGTCCTAAATCTTCTCCCACCTGAACTTCAGAATCTTCAAGCTCCACTATATCTGATGGTGGGTCTGCAAAAAACAGAACAGCACATATGAATTATTGGAAAAACAAATGAACAATATAATGCACATCTTAAAAGAAATGGATTATGAAGTACTTACAATAAACATCAATGTTTATTGTAAAGTTGAGAGAATTCAGACTGTTTGAAACTGTGACCCAGTACTGCCCTGCATCTCCTCTTGTTAGCTGGTTTGGAAGTGTAAACTCCTCTTCGTCTTTATACCAGAACTCTTGAGGTTCTGGGAAGCCCCTGCTGCATCTGAGGTTGTGTGGAGTGTACTCTGAAATATTATATGCATCGGGACAGATCCACTCTGGTCCATCTGGAATAGGAAACACGAAACGGTATTTAAATTTCTCCCCACACCACCTACCAAATGTTTGGAATACGCAAAGTAAACATTTAACATGCCAGAGGTAAACTCACAAAGTACATTGACTTGGATTTCCTTAACCGAGGAATTTCGAACAGTATTTTGATCAGCTTTTACTTTATATCTCCCTGTGTCATCTCTTCTCAGTGGGTCAGTCAGGTTTATGGTTCGTCCATCTTTCAGCCACGTAACTTTTGGGATGGGGTTTCCGGTCACATTACATTTCCCTTCCAAAGATTCTCCCTCCTTAATCTCTATCTTGAAGCAGTCAATATGAGGTCCAACTGGCAAAAAATATAAACAGTTCAGTATTATTTAATTTTATTTTATGAAATAAGGGGCAGATTCAGCTCCTGTCACAGTAATTCCTAAAGTTTTTACACATCTTGGCAGGTTGAAAAGCAATAGTGACATACTTATAAAGATAGGGAAGAGAAGGTTTTTTTTTTTATTTTATTTTTAGAAAGTTCTATAACATATTCAATACCATCAATACCTTATTTTTCAGATGAGATCAAAGTCTCATTGTTATTTATTTCATTTTCAATATCAAATGATCTGTTGGCAACCTTTGCAGTGAAATTTAAATATTTGATTGATTTTCTTTCACCAGGTTAGCCAAAAACTTAGCCATCCAATCACTTTCTCTTTTAGTTACTAAGTATCCAGCATGTTGAGATGAGTGGATAGTGGAGAGTCTGAGATTAAATCAATTTTTTTCTATTTTCATTTCTCCTCTTCAAAACGAGTCTTTGAGTGGTGACATCTTTATAGAGTACAGGATGTAAGAAATTGTGAAACGGTTAAAAGATAGACAAAGACAAAAGTGAAACTGGTAATGAATTACTTACACTGAACCTGGATATTTAACATCTCTGAAGATAAATTAAATTGTGGACCTTCTGGCCCCAAGTCCATGTCTGCTTCACATCTGATAGTTGTTCCGTCATCCTCTCTCGTTGGTATAAATTCATATAAAGAAGTCTGATTTGTGGGTTTTTTCTCGTCATTCTGAAAAGTCTCTGTCTGGACGATTGTGTCTCCTTTGTACCACGTTATGGTGAGATTTTGAACAGGTAAAATATTGGGGACACCACAGGAAAGCCGATGCATCTGATTTTCTTCAAATGAACTGGGGGAGCTGATGTCAATGTGTTCTGGAAATTCTGGAAGATTGGAAAATATTGTCAGGCATTGTGAAATAACTGTTACAATCTGTTCGAATTGTAATACTTACGGTAGATGACAAGTCCCAGCTCAACACTACATTGACTATCATCCTTAAGGGTATAAAAGCACTTGGGTTTCGCTTCCCAATGTGTGAGACTGCTAACGTTCCACATCAGATGGGACACGTTTTGAAGGCCTGTGCTTCCTTGTGACGCCTCCCATCCGATTCCCTCTATATCAGTGGCTGATGTGGTGCAGTTCACCAAGACCGGGTCCCCGTATTTCACCACTACACGAGGTGGGTCCAGCTTAGTTAAACAGGCATCTTTACCTGCCCCATGAAAGTACAGGAATATATTCTGTATTAATATGAATGAAAATAAACAAAATCTTTGCAATATGTGATTTATGTTTTTTTTCTAATGCCATTATTTCAACAGTCTTTCACATCATCTCAGTAGAAATGTAAGCAGAACAAAAACATTTAATAACATAATGCTTAAAGATGTGTTGATTTTTAATTACTTAATTAAAATACTCTTGATGGCTCCAAGCTTTAGCAGCAACATAAAAGCACAATTATACACAGAATATGATAAAAAAAAAATAAAATAATATATATATATATATATATATATATATATATATATATATATATATATATATATATATATATATATATATATATATATATATATATATATATTAATCAATGAATTATCTTAATGTGAAGAATTAAAGGTATTGTGGAAGATTTTCTCGAATTTTTGAAAAGAACAGCCCTCTATACTTAAAAAAAAATCACATACACATCCCTGTACCCGTTCCCGAGAGGAAACGCCTATAAAACCCATTCAAGAGCGTGCACATGGATCTGATCAAGTGCCCTTCCTAGAAAGACATCTGCTCTCTTAAATCATAATAAACAAAATCACAACAACACAAAAAGCCCAGTTCCTGTATTTAACATGTATTTTACAGAACTTTACAGAAAAAACATCTTAATTTAGTTTTATCTTTTAACAGTATCAATCTGAAAGCTCAGCAGTTGCCAAAACAAAAAAGTGTCTTCATGTTGAAGTCATCTGGATTCAAAGGCTAACACCAATTTAAAAGAAAGGAAGTAGTTAGTAGCTGAAGTGTTGAAAACATAGACATATGAGCATCTCTTACTTTTTCGTTTTATCTGATTCTGTCACATTAACTACAGAAAATGTATCCAGAATTTTTTCTTATCAGCTTTTTAAAATGATTGATTAATGTCCACAAATTCAACAAGAGCTTTTTTTTTTTTTCTTTTTTTTTTTTTTGCAGTAGGATATGTTTGCTGCTCTCTGCTGGCTAAACAATACTTCTGCAGGTTCCTACAGTCTAACCTACCACATTTTTAGTTTGAAGATAGTTCAGATCTGACAAATAGTAGGCTTTGTGTTTTCATACAGATATGTCTCTTTCTTTGTTTCTTGGGTTATTTTTTTTTCTTTTCGGTTAACCATTTCAAGATGAAGGTACAAAATGTTATCTCGAAGGCAGACATCTCATAAATTACATGTAAAATTAGTCAACGACAACAAAATTAGCAAATGTTTAGCCTACCTGAAATCAGAAGGAACCCTGAAAAGAGTTGAACAAATATTATCCACTCAGTCATTGGATTTGCCGGTCAAGTGTGAACAACGTATCCTGTGTTTTGGACCACCTCTGCTTCTTGTGTGGGGCAGTGCTGTGCTCACTCGCATGAAAAGCAGGGGTTTTACACCAAGAGAGGGAGGTGGGAGCATAGGGCCAGCTCAGCGTCTTTATGCTGGACACACACACACACACAGGCTGCAAGCTGCTGGTTGTTTGTGTGTGGGGGATGAGTTCCAGTAAACTGCAAACTTTCCAGTAACCAGGTACTTTCCTTGCCCCGTTTATGGGCATTTAAAAGATGTTTTAGCTTTTATTTATTAACAAAGGTTAAGTAGGATCCCAAAAGTGTAATATCATTCATCTTTTACAGGCTTTTGAAAGATTTAAAAAACTGTTTAAGCTGATTTCCCTATGGGGTCTGATTCAATACTTGTTGAATCTCAGTCTTCAGAGTGCTTGGATTTAGACAAGCCATTTCTGAGAGCTAACACAATTAGCCACAATCCAACTGTCCAGATGGGAGTTGGCCTTAATTATGGGGTAATTAAGAACTATTCAAGGCATTGTCATATGGTTTAGTGTGCATCATCAACCATACCTTGCTTAGTGCTGCGGTATATCCCAGCTTGCTGGTTTTTATATTGTTATGGTGTCACACAGGCACACCTCCCTGTCCTGATATTTTTTTCCATGAAAAGGTTGGCCTCATCCAGGACAATAGCACTGAAAACATTCTTTATCTCACTGAATATATTCTCCATGGGGATACTTTTGTAAAATTCAGACCAGATGTTAGTAATAACCCAAGTTTTTTCTTCACAGTCTTTTTTTGTAATAAATCAGAATGATGCATGAGGAAGTTACTGAAGACAAAGGAGAGCATTAGCAAAAAGACAAAGACAGCCCAATCCAGCTGATGTTTGTCAGTATTTAGAATTCAATTCAGCAGAAATCACTGCAGCTTTTAGTCCTATCAAGTGGCTTTTATGTCAGGATTTGATTTTTGTTTGTTGACCCAAATGCAGATGCAGGGAGGCAGAGGTGAGTTTCTTGATGATTTATTGAAAAGGTAAACGGAGTACAGAGGCAGGAAATCCAAAATTCTAATATGAAAAACAAAGTCCAAACAAACAGGAAAACCAGGAATCCAAAAATCCAAAAATGAAAACAAAGTCCAAACTAACAGGAAACCAGGAGTCCAAAAATAATAAAAAATTAAAACATGAAAACAAGTCCAATGAACCTGAAACCATGGAGACATCAAGGGGAATCACAATTACAAGGAGGTTGGCTCAGAGAGACGGAGTAGGAGGAAGTTTGACGTGGAACCAGCACTGAAAAACTGAGTATTTATGGGAAACTGAAACAAAGGGGGAGCAAATGAGCAGATTGGGAGCAGGTGTGAGCAGAGCAGAAACAAGAAAGGAACAAGGGAAAAAAGGAGAACTCAAGAGGGCAGCAGAGGGCAACAAATAAAAACTTGAGAACTGAAAAATAACCAGAAAACACAACAAAATAAGAATGAAACCACAAAAACTAGAAAACATGGAACAAGGTAAAACCGAATACACAAAATAAAACATAACAGAACCAAGATTATAACATTTTAAAGCTTTAGAAGAAGAAGCATCAACATCTCTCTCAAAGCCTCACAAAATGTATAGATTCCTTCTTTAACCTTAAACTAGCCAGAGCTTTTTGCTTCTTATACATCCTGGCAAATGAGCCAGATGAACAATCGGGTATTTAGTCAATAACCCCTCACAGAGGGCTTAAAAAAAGCCTGAAATTAGAAGGAATATTACTTATGAAAATTAGAAATGCACCCAGAGACAATGGACTTTTACTACTCTAGACTCAAAAAATATATTTAATTTTTTTTCTGAACATTTTAAAACTGCAAAAGTACTGGCCATAAGGGATCAAGCTAGCATTCTTAAGATAATTTACTGTATGGAATGGTGGATGGGTGGTTAGATGGAGGAGTAGAGGAATGTGATCATATAGGTGAGGATTCTGTATAACAGAAGGAGATAAAGCGTGTTTACTTGAAGCTGAGTCACAGTCAGATCTGGAGGAAACTTAGAAGGGAATTAAGGAGGAGAATCAACAGGACAACAGGCTAGAACCTAGTAGGTTAGAAGGGCTGCAACTGCGGCAAAACACACAGAGAATCACACAACTTCTGCACACAACCTACTAAAATATGACTAATATTGTACTGGAAGCTTTATCAAGGTGAAACAGCATAAATATAGAAATATGTCAGGACAATATAACCTGCCTCCTTGAATTCCAGTGAATTTCAGTGGAAAGAAGCAAAGCTCATGGTGTACAGATTGCATGACACATGTTTCACAGAGGTTTACAAAATGAAAAAAAAAATCTCTCAGTGTTCATTTCATTTCATTTTTTACACAAAATCTATGAAAAACTTTGCTTTTTTGTATGTACTGTATGGTTACTTGAAAGCTTGCAGACAATACTATACATTTCCCATGAAGAACCTCCATTTAGCTGAGGTTATGTTTCTATCTAAATGAAAATGAAATATTTAATGCTCAGTAAAATTTTTAGGTATTTGTTAGACTATAGATAGCTCTTAATTACACAGTACATTTTCAAATAAAAGCCAACATGTGAGTGATTGCTTCTTATCATTAATCCACTCAAGAGTAAAAGTAATTTGATGCATCCTGACAAACAAGTCCCACATATCGGAAGTCATCCATTTGACGCTCATATTCAGCCTTTCTCATCTCTGATTCATTTCCACCTAAAAGAGTTACTCAGGAAGGATGCAGTCCAGATTCCAAACCAGCACAAACATCCAGAATTATAGTCATTAATGCACACTTGCAACCCTGGACTTTCCTATCCTTCACAGATACAGTCTGTGTTGTCTTTTTTTTTTTTTTTTTTTGGTACGAAAGCACATCTTGCCCCTATGTACTGATTGAATAACTGCAGGAATAATAAAGTGGTGTCAGCTCATGGTTGTTTAACTCCCAGGACAGTTTTTTTTTCCTAACAATGATTAACAAACCTGGGAACAAAATACTGTCATAGAACACAAGAACAAGATCAGAATGTATAAGCTCCCAAAGCTCCCGTCAGCCTCAGAAAAAAAGAACAGATCCCAGGGAAATGTGTTTTGAGTTAAAACAGAGGGTGGGAGTACAGGGAGAATAAATACACATGCACAGCATTTTTTTCTTAGTTAGGAAGAGTTAGGAGGTCAAGCGATATTTCAACATTTTGAATAAAGAGATGAAAAAAAGATTAAAAAAAAGGAGATGATAGACAAACAGAATGCCACACAAAGAGAAATCAACATTTATATTCCAGTCATGCACTAATTTCCCCTCCCTACTACATGATGTTTAGTGTAACAGATTCTGAGGGGTGCTGGAGAAGATGCAATCAGCCCTTTTTACTTACATGCCGAGCGTTCATCTCTGCACAGGGAGGCTGCTTTCCAGCAATGTCACAGGAAAGATAATTACGAAAAGGAACTTACAAACACATCATTAGCATTCTAAATGAGTTTCAGGTCCTCTCTTTCCACATGTCTAACAGCCACATGTGATCATCAACAAACAAGCAGGTTTTCCACTCAAACTTTGCGAAAAGATGATTTTGGGGTGATTGATGGAAGATAAACTTGTTTATGTTTTTCCTCTGGTCATACTCATTTATAAACAGGAATATGGCACGTTAATTTTTAAAACATATGTGACACGTGCTAATCTAAAGCACCTATGAAATTAGTTACAGGATATAGGCTCTAGTATTTTCTTTAGTGTTCATGAAAGTAAAGAATGACACATTAAGACTTTACATTGACTTAATTAATTTTAGTTACTGCATTTATCCTCGCCTTAAACTAAAGTTAATTCACACCATACCTCTAAACGGACTCTCTAAGGTTAGAAATGGGGGTCCACTGCATTAGGAACAGCCTTCGGTTACCATAAGGCCTGTTGATCCTCAGAAGGTTAGTAAACATACTAAAAACTGTCCTAGATAGGTATCATAAACAAGTACACAGCCCTCTCATCCCCAAACTATTTTGATTTAAAAAAAAAGTGGAAACAATTAGTGATTTTTAAAGAGTACAAGGAAATAAATCCCTTATTAGGAACTAAACCTCCCTTAGGTTTATTCTCTCCATTCTGCCATCAGCCCTGACTTCTTGTCTGCCTATTCTCTGTAGACACAATGGCCTGCTAATGGACTGTGTCGATGTGTCTATAAAAAATGGGGTCATAAGCATGTCTCTTGAAAAGCAAAGACAAAGGAAGTATCTTTCAAAAGTCAGCATTAGCAGCACAAGGGAAAATCCTTCAGCAGATCTAAAAGTGAAAACAGCCACTGTTCAAATTGGGACAGATTACTTTTTTTCCAACTGATAGGCTGGCCTTGTACTTTTAAGGGAAATCTTACATCAGCGTTAGAAACCAGTTGCTTTCTTCTCACCCGCTCTGTATCTCATCGAAACTAGCAAAGCAAAAAAAAAAAAAAAAATCAACATTCGACAGATTATTTGAAAAAGAAAGTTTAAAGAAAAGACATTCAAGGCACAACAGTGTCAGTATTGTTCATTTACTGAACGCCAGCTGTAATGTGATCATGCAAAATGCATGAGGCAAACAGAAGTCCTTCTGTTTCCACATTCTTTGTGTCTCTGTTGGCATTTAGTTTTATCAATTTGTAAGAAAACCGACACCAGTCTCGTGAAGTCTGCAGAGGCTCTTCAGTTTGATCCTCTTCCATGAACATTAATTTCCCACTGGTAACATGCAGTAACAATGCCAAGGCAATACTGCAAACTAAAAATGTGTTCCAATAAGCTGTTAATATGTGAAACAAATGTATGCAAAGTGCGTTAGATATATGTTGTAGGCACTTTTCTAGAAGACCCCACACGGAGCAATTTTCCCTCTGATGGATATTGCAATGCATCACAGTGTTGAAATTACAGTCAATGTTGTTAACGTCTAGATAGTGCTTTTATGTTTATAGTAGGGGCACACCAGTACACCAACTACTCAGTCTGATTTAGTCCAGGAAATACTGGAACAACTTCAAAGATCCTTTTTAAGATTCTGCTTAAACAACGCCCCTTAATGA